AAACTAAAATAACACTGAATGTGAAAATATAACATCAAAAACTGAAAATATAAAATAAAAACCATATCAAAGTATTAACAAATAGTATACAAGTATAAATACTATACAAATAATACTAAACCAACGCTGGTTTCATGCATGAAATAAAATCACTTCATTACATCATGACCATGAACACATCACTACATTGTCATAATTTTGCTTAATGAGATTTCAAATTAAAGTTTGCATAAAGAAAATGCTTGATTCTCTGTTCATCAGCTAGTCCTTAAAGTTTAGCTATTGTTTTCATCTTTGCTTAGACCATTTTATTAGTAACTCTGGGCCTCATTCGTGAAATGTAAGTCATTCATAAAACCACTCTTACAGAAGTTTTTGCATTGAATTGCATGCATGCATACATTTATGAGAATGGATTGAGAGATGAGTTTCACAGATTGTTTTTCTTGTTTCATGAATGAGGCTCAGCGACAGTACAGAGAGGCAGATAATAACAGAAGAGCAACAGCCTTCTTTTCATTCCTGCGTTCTATTTCAGGGGTGTTTCTGAGTGAGGATGAGTCGGGACGTCCTTCACTGTCAGCGATCTGCAGCATCTATCAGAAGAGCGCTGATAAAGCCGCAGCCAGACAAAGATAAAACAGATTCCTGACTCTCAGCTCCCATAAGAGCACAACAGCGTTGTCCTACTTAACTCGAACATTATATAAACTGTTTTCTGTTTAGTATTTCCCATGCAATATTTTCCTAAATTATTATATTATTTTGGAATATATGTATGCACACGACTGTTCAAAGGTTTGGGGTCAGTGAAATTTATATATATATATATATTTTTTTTTTGTCTTTTTGAGTCTCTTTTGCTCACCAAGCCTGCATTTATTTGAACAAAAATACAGTAAAAACAGTAATATTGTGAAATATTATTAAGATTTAAAATAGCTGTTTTCTATGTGAATAGATTGTAAAATGTAATTTATTTCTGTGATCAAAGCTGTATTTTCAGCATCATTACTCCAGTCTTCAGTGTCACATGATCTTCAGAAATCATTATAATATGCTGATTTGCTGCTCGAGAAACATTATCAATGTTGAATATAGTTTAATATTTAAAACCATAAAAAAAAAATGTCAGGATTCTTTGATTAATAGAAAGCATTTCATTGAAATGGAAATCTTTAGTAACATTATAAATGTCTTTACTGCTCCTTTACTGCTTATTTGCTGAATAAAAATATACATTTATGAAGTTACTTTTGATCAATTTAATGTGCCCTTACTAAATACAAGCATTCATTTCTAAAAAAAAAAAAAAAAAAAAAAAAAAAAAAAAAAAAAAAGATCTTGAATATATACATATATACACATAAATGAATATATACATATATACACACATACATATATACACACATACATTCATATATATATATGCATTCCATTCCATTTTCCCCATTACAAATTATATTATTAGCATAACAATTTGACAAAAAATATCTCGGGCTTTTGGGCCCCACTGCATAATTTCTCTAAATCGTGAATCACATAAACAATGTGTGTATGTATAATATATGATGTATCACATTGCATTAATTGCAAAGAAAATGTGAAGGTCATGCTTAATGCTAGAGGTATGTGTAATGTGTCTAATGTTGAAACAATCAGGGAGGTGTTTGTTGTCTATATAAGGGTATCAACAACTAAAGGTCTTGTAACTGACCCACACCACTTTTAACTCTTGATAAAAACCCTGTCCCTGTGTTCTTTCCTTTCACATCCTTATTTGGATCTCTGTAACTCTCTATAAAACCCCAGCACTAGTGGTTTGTGTCTCTAAAGTTTCCTCAGCCGAGGTGTGCTCATCAACTCTCACTGTACCTGGAAATCTCAAGCAGTCACTATGGGTGATGCTATGATGGCAGAGTTCGGAAAGGCTGCTCCATTCCTGAGGAAGTCGGATAAAGAGCGTCTGGAAGCTCAGACAAGAGCCTTTGACATCAAGACTGAATGCTTTGTTGCGGATGAAAAGGTGGAGTATGTGAAGGGGCAAATTGTCAGCAAGGAAGGAGGGAAGGTCACTGTTAAGACTGAGGATGGGAGGACAGTGACCGTCAAGGACGGAGACGTCCATCCCCAGAACCCGCCTAAATTCGATAAAATTGAAGACATGGCGATGCTTACTTTCCTTCACGAGCCTGCAGTGCTGTTCAACCTCAAAGAGCGTTATGCAGCCTGGATGATCTACACCTACTCTGGGCTGTTCTGTGCAACCGTCAACCCTTACAAGTGGTTACCCGTGTACGACTCAGAAGTAGTCGCTGCTTACAGAGGTAAGAAGAGATCAGAGGCCCCACCTCACATCTTTTCTATCTCAGATAATGCTTATCAATACATGC